GGATTTATGTGTACGTTCTAGTATATAGATCTCTCAAAGAAGCTTAGTCAAAGTTAACGATTTCTCCTTTTTAATACAAGACCTCTAAGCACACACTTAAATTATATGTGAACCCTCACTTTGTAAAACAACCCATTCAGTTTAAAATTAATATTAAAGGCACATTATTTGTGTATAGATATAAAAAACATTATAAATGCCTTTTTCCCCTTTTTTATAAATTATCACATACCCCTATTCTCAGCTGCATAAGGATCTTAGAGAGTCGGGGGAGCAGAAGTAGTAGCACATTTTCCCAGTGAATGGCTGCCCCAGTGGGTGCATGTTAGCACAAGTCTCATCATTGGTGGAGAGCAGGCTGAGATCCCAGCACAGCCAGAAAACTGACCATGCTGTGCTCTCCTGCCTAGTGTGGTCAGTTTTTAAAAGGAAAGCAGAGTGACTGGCAGCAACACTAGGTATTTCACACAAAGGAAGCAACACATTGAGAACAGCACACTTTTTCATACAAGTACTGTAATAGGTACAGCAAGCACATACAGTATCAGGAATATGAAATTTTGGATTGAACTATTCTTTAAGAGCTTACCATTTAACCACTTGCCTACCAGGCACTTATACCCCCTTCCTGCCCAGGCATGTGTTTCATGCCTCGTAAAGAATCTAACGGTAGGTACTGTGCATATTTGACCCAAAAGCAAAAAACTAACAAAAAAAAATTCATTCATTTCCATTGCACAATTTATCGTTCAAATCTGTCATTACACAATGGCAAAATCATTTGCTCTTATGACCATGTGTCTGTTTTTCAAAAACCCATTCAAACGATTTTTCGACTAATGTATGGCCAGCATTGCATGCAGTTTACACTTGTGGTTGGGTGGATGGTGAAAAGCATGTGGGTTTTTACTGCCAATGCCCTCCAAGTATACATGCTGCAGGAAAATGATCCTACCTGTCCTGTTCAGTACTGCCAAATGTGACCAATTCAAGTGAATGGGCTGCACCACAACCATGCACATGGTTACAGTCTGGGCTTTTAGGGGTTTTAATAGGTGGTGAGGCTGTAGGGTTGCCACCTCATCCCTTTAAAACTGAACACATATAAATTACACAGGTTCTGTGGCTGATTAAAGTGGTAATTAACTACTTGCCTACCGGGCACTTTTACCCCCTTCCTGCCCAGGCCAATTTTCAGCTTTCAGCGCTCTCACACTTTGAATGACAATTGTCAAGCAACACTGTACACATACAAAATTTTTATCATTATTTTTACACAATAGAGCTTTCTTTTGGTGGTATTTATTCGCCACTGGGTGTTTTATGTTTTGCTCTATAAAAACAAAAAAAGAGCAAAAAATTAAAAAAAAAAAGTTTTTCTTTGTTTCTATTATAAAATTTTGCAAACAGGTAATTTTTCTCCTTCACTGATGTGCGTTGATGAGGCTGCACTGATAGGCAGCACTGATGGGCACTGATAGGTGGCACTGATAAACACTGATAGGTGGCACTGATAGCAAGCACTGATGATGGGCACTGACTTGCGGCACTGCTGGGCACTGACTGGCGGCACAGCTAGGCACTGATTGCTGGCACTGACTGGCGACACTGGTGGATGGCACTGCTGTTCTGCACTGATGGGCACTGGTGGGTGGCACTGGTGGGCACTGATGGGCACAGGTGGGTGGCACTGGTGGGCACAGGTGGGTGGCACTGCTGGGCACTTGTGGGCAGTACTGCTGGGCACTGTGGGCAGCACTGGTGGGTGGCACTGCTGGGCACCGATCATCAGGGCACTACTGCCCGCAGTACTTTCCTCATGCTGTGACAGCGTGAGGAAAGTGCAGCCGATAACTGGCAATTGCATTTCCTGTTGATCAGTGTGTCATTGGACACGGCTGATCATGTGGTTAAAAGCCGCTGTGAATGGCTTTTTACCATACCATGTGATCAGCTGTGTCCGTAGGACAAAGCGATCATGGAGATCGCCGGGGTGCGTGCCCCCGTGGGCGAGCAGGAGAACACATTCTGGGAGGACGTCATATGACGCCCACCCAGAACTGGTCGGCCGCAGTGAAGCCATCATTCGGCTATCTGCGGTCGGCAAGTGGTTAATGGGGGCAGGGGTAGTATCAGACAAAAAACATAGCAGTATGACAAGTGCAATACTGCTCACACAGAGTGGTTATTAGAAAATCCAAGTGGAGTAATATAATAAGTATTAACAAACAAGTTTTATTCGATCACATGGATCATATTGAGGTTAGACAGAGACATGGTGCACTGGACACCTTAGCTGCAATTGTGCTATATGCTGGGTGCCCAATGCGCCCATGTGTCTTTAAGAAGGGGCAGGCTTCCTTCAGGCTTACCTGCCCTCAGTCTATCCACGATTATGCATGTGCTTCTTCTATGGAGGCTCTCAATATTTATAGAGCTAGGACTGCAAAAAATTCTGGGTGAAGAGGCTCTGCAGCTTACGGATGTATTTGCAAATGTAAGTAAACTAAACCCCTGTTTTTAATGTGAACTGTTTGACAGGACAATTTGGTTGGTTGCAGGCTGGTGTCTTGGTGTCCCACTTGCCTGATACTACTGAGAGAAAAGGGGGGAAGGGGTAGCCACCTAACATGACACGTAAATATGTGTCATATAAATATCTCCGTCTCACTAATAATTAGTGTGGATTTATAAACCCAAATATTTAGCATAAAACATAGCAGTATGACAAGTGCAACACTGCTCACACAGAGTGGTTATTAGAAAATCCAAGCGGAGTAATATAATAAGTATTAACAAACAAGTTTTATTCGATCACATGGATCATATTGAGGTTAGACAGAGACATGGTAAACAAATCTTTATAAAATCACTGAATTAAAAACATTCGAGGTCTCCAATGATATTCGGCAATCAGGAATCCACATAAGGCAATGAAGTTCCTAACTACTAGATCAAAGGATTTCCATATTTTCCATATAATATCTGCATGAGGGGAGCATTCTTCAAAGAGTATTTTGGTGACCACCACAGTGAATAGAATGACCTCCTAAAAATGGAAAACAGAAAAAAAGATCATAGTTGTCAGGGCTCCCAGGTATGACCAGAGGTGTGTGACTGAAGCAGGGAAACGCAGACCTCAGATATGTTATAAACAATATAATTTATTAACACTAACAGTACAAACATAAACGCAGTGCAATACTAAAACATAATACGGTGCAAACAAACCAAACCAAACCACCCACAAATAACAGTATATACAAGCAAGCGTCGTCAGGCAGGCCGGGTCAATATCAATTGGGCAGGTAGGTACAGGGGGAGCAAGCGGAGAATGGTCGGGGTCACAGGCCAGGTTCAGCAGGTAGCAAGCAGCATAGTACAGAGGGTCAGGCAGAGGGATGGTCCGGGTCACAAGCCAGGGATCAGAACAGGTAGCAAGCAGCGTAGTAGTACAGAGGGTCAGACAGAGGGATGGTCAGGGTCACAAGCCAGGATCAGAGCAGGAGAAGTCAGCAAAGGAACAGAAACCGGATGCAGGACAGATACAGGGCCCAGGACAAACACAACACCAAGGCAGAGTCTGCAAGTCTGGCCATCCCTTAAATACACCAGTATCATCTGTTCCAGGTGTTAGCTGGCTGAAAGGTTGAGTCTCTGATTGCTGGGAGCACCCGCTGGCCAGCCCTGGTACTGCAGATCAAAAGGCAGGTGAGTCCCACCATTGCTGGCCAGTCCATTCCTAACAGTACCCCCCCCTCAAGGAGCGGCCTCAGGACGCTCCAAACAGTCCTAGCTGGGCAAAATGTTCCACCGCCGGGTCTGGCAACTGGCGGGATATCAAAGACTGGCACACCGGGCAGGACTCCGGGCAGCGGCACACCGGGCTGGACTCCGGGCAGAGGCACATCGAGCAGAGGCACATCGGGCAGGACTCCGGCAGAGGCACATCGGGCAGGACTCCGGGCAGAGGCACACCGGGCAGAGGCACATCGGGCAGGACTCGGGGGCAGAGGCACACTCGGGCAGAGGCACATCGGGCAGGGCAGAGGCACATCGGGCAGGACTCCGGGCAGAGGCACATCGGGCAGGACTCCGGGCAGAGGCACATCGGGCAGGACTCCGGGCAGAGGCACATCGGGCAGGACTCCGGGCAGAGGCACATCGGGCAGGACTCCGGGCAGAGGCACATCGGATTACCAGGCGAAGCAGCAGGCACCGGGCCCCCGGGCAGCAGCAGGCACCGGGCCCCCGGGCGGAGCAGCAGGCACCGGGCCCCCGGGCGGAGCAGCAGGCACCGGGCCCCCGGGCGGAGCAGCAGGCACCGGGCCCCCGGGCGGAGCAGCAGGCACCGGGCCCCCGGGCGGGGCTACAGGCTCCGGCCCCCGGGCGGAGCAGCAGGCACCGGGCCCCCGGGGGCGGGGCTACAGGCTCCGGGCCCCCGGGCGGATCAGCAGGCACCGGGCCCCCGGGCGGGGCTACAGGCACCGGGCCCCCGGGGCGGGGCTACAGGCACCGGGCCCCCGGGCGGAGCAGCAGGCACCGGGCCCCCGGGCGGGGCTGCAGGCACCGGCCCCACCGGGGCTACAGGCTCCGGGCCCCCGGGCGGGGCTGCAGGCACCGGGCCCCCGGGCGGGGCAGCAGGCACCGGGCCCCGGGCGGAGCAGCAGGGGGCCCCCGGGCGGAGCAGGCACCGGGCCCCCGGGCGGGGCTACAGGCACCGGGCCCCCGGGCGGGAGCAGCAGGCACCGGGCCCCCGGGCGGGGCTACAGGCACCGGGCCCCCGGGCGGGGCTACAGGCACCGGGCCCCGGGCGGGGCTACAGGCACCGGGCCCCCGGGCGGGGCTACAGGCACGGGCCCCCGGGCGGGGCTGCAGGCACCGGGCCCCCGGGCGGGGCTACAGGCACCGGGCCCCCGGGCGGGGCTACAGGCACCGGGCCCCCGGGCGGGGCGGCAGGCACCGGGCCCCCGGGCGGCGCGGACCCCCAGATGGAGCGACAGGTCTCGGGCCCTCAGGTGGAGCGGCGGGCGCCGGACCCATAGGCGGAGCGGCTGGCGCCGGACCCCCAGGTGGAGCGACAGGTCTCGGGCCCTCAGGCGGAGCGGCGGGCGCCGGACCCCCAGGCGGAGCGACAGGTCTCGGGCCTTCAGGCGGAGCGGCGGGCGCCGGACCCCCAGGCGGAGCGACAGGTCTCGGGCCCTCAGGCGGAGCGGCGGCGCGCCGGACCCCCAGGAGGAGCGACAGGTCTCGGGCCCTCAGGCGGAGCGGCGAGCGCCGGACCCCCAGATGGAGCGACAGGTCTCGGGCCCTCAGGCGGAGCGGCGGGCGCCGGACCCCCAGGTGGAGCGACAGGTCTCGGGCCCTCAGGCGGAGCGGCGGGCGCCGGACCCCCAGGGAGGAGCGACAGGTCTCGGGCCCTCAAGCGGAGTGGCAGGTGCCGGACCCCCAGGCGGAGCGACAGGTCTCGGGCCCTCAGGCGGAGCGACAGGTCTCGGGCCCCCAGGCGGAGCGGCGGGCGCCGGATCCCCAGGCTAGCGGAGCGGGGCGCTGGACCCCCAAGCGGAGCAACAGGTCTCGGGCCCCCAGGCGGAGCGGCGGGCACCGAGACACCAGGCACGACAGTGGGCTCCGAGTCAACTGGTATGACCGCAGGCACTGGGTCAGACATTGGATGGTCTGGCTGGACAGCGGGCATCGGGTCACCAGGCATCAGGTCATTTGGCTCGACAGCGGGCACCGCGTCATCTGGCAAGGCAGTGGGCTCCGAGTCAACTGGCATGACCGCGGGCAACCGCGTCATCTGGCAAGGCAGTGGGCTCCGAGTCAACTGGTATGACCGCGGGCACTGGGTTAGACATTGGATCGTCTGACGTCTGACTGGACAGCGGGCATCGGGTCACCAGGCATCAAGTCATTTGGCTCGACAGCGAGCACCGCATCATCTGGCAAGGCAGTGGGCTCCGAGTCAACTGGCATGACCGCGGGCACCGGGGCAGACATTGAATCGTCTGGCTGGACAGCGGGCATCGGGTCACCAGGCATCAGGTCATTTGGCTCGACAGCGGGCACGCGCGTCATCTGGCAAGGCAGTGGTCTCCGAGTCAACAGGCACGACAGTGGGCACCGGGTCATCAGGTACCGGATTGTCTGGCTCGACAGCGGGCATCGGGTCATCAGGTATGACAGCGGACACTAGGTCACCAGGCATCAGGTCATTTGGCTTGCCAGCGGGCACCGCGTCATCTGGCAAGGCAGTGGGCACCAAGTCACCAGGTACGACAGCGGGCTCTGAGTCAATTGGCACGACAGCGGGCACCGGATCAGGTACCGGATCATCTGGATCAACAGCGGGCATCGAGTCAACTGGCCTAATAGGATCGTCAGGCTGGATCAGTGCATCAGGCCGAGTAGAGGCATCAGGCCGAGTAGAGGCATCAGGCCGAGTAGAGGCATCAGGCCGAGTAGAGGCATCAGGCCGAGTAGAGGCATCAGGCCGAGTAGAGGCATCAGGCCGAGTAGAGGCATCAGGCCGAGTAGAGGCATCAGGCCGAGTACAGGCATCAGGCCGAGTACAGGCATCAGGCCGAGTACAGGCATCATCAGGCCGAGTACAGGCATCAGGCCGAGTACAGGCATCAGGCCGAGTACAGGCATCAGGCCGAGTACAGGCATCAGGCCGAGTACAGGCAGCATCAGGCCGAGTACAGGCATCAGGCCGAGGACAGGCATCAGGCCGAGGACAGGCATCAGGCCGAGGAGAGGCATCAGGCCGAGGAGAGGCATCAGGCCGAGGAGAGGCATCAGGCCGAGGAGAGGCTTCAGGCCCGAGGAGAGGCTTCAGGCCGAGGAGAGGCTTCAGGCCGAGGAGAGGCTTCAGGCCGAGGAGAGGCTTCAGGCGCGAGGAGAGGCTTCAGGCCGCCGTAGAGGCTTCAGGCCGAGTAGAGGCTTCAGGCCGCGTAGAGGCTTCAGGCCGCGTAGAGGCTTCAGGCCGAGTACAGGCATCAGGCTGCGTACAGGCATCAGTCTGAACCACGGAAGGCAGGCTCACCGGTTTGGATACTGGCAGGATGGTATTGGTTGGAAAGAATTTTCGCTTTTTTCTTTTCTGGTTTTAACTACTGGAGCACTGCAAGTAAACGCAGGTCTGCAAACGAATGGAGCAGCTGGAGACAGAGAAGAACTGGAGGATGGAACAGGAGAGGGGAGCAGTTGCTACAGAGGGCTTTTTTACAGGGTTAAAGGCAGGATAGGTGCAGCGAGTGGGAACAGGGTACTGACATGCGGTAGATAGCCAAGTATACTGGGCTGTAACTGGAGGAGCTGGTGGGAATACAGGAGTAGAGTTAGAAGCAGGACTGGGTTTTTGTAAGCTGACTGAGGCTGGGTGCAACAAGTCTGTCCATGTCTGCAGTAGGGGTTGAACAAAGCTGAGCTTACACAAAGTCTGTCTGGTCAATGACTGCACTGCGTTTATACAATCTCTCAGTGTCTGTGGTGAACATGTGGAATAACGCTCCAGAAAGTAACCCACATCATCCTCTAATAACCACACCAGGGACTCTACCTGGTCTGCACTAAATGGTGGCAAAAATTCATCCCTGCATTCGGGGGAACCAGATGAAACCAACTCTGCACAAACCTCAATCAATGCTGCACCTCAGAGAATACTGTGCCCTGATCTACTAGAACATGAGCGAGCCGTATACATTCTAGCAATTCATCCCGGGTATACTCCTTCAGAGTTTGATAAGCATACTCCCTGTCATCAAACACTAGCAGATATAAATATTCAACCTCATCAAGATCCATCCTTCCCATCAACAAGCCAAGATGGCTTCCCTGTGCAGCCACTTCTGGTCAGGATTGGCCTTGGTGTAATGTCAGGGCTCCCAGGTATGACCAGAGGTGTGTGACTGAAGCAGGGAAACGCAGACCTCAGATATGTTTATAAACAATATAATTTATTAACACTAACAGTACAAACATAAACGCAGTGCAATACTAAAACATAATACGGTGCAAACAAACCAAACCACCCACAAATAACAGTATATACAAGCAAGCGTCGTCAGGCAGGCCGGGTCAATATCAATTGGGCAGGTAGGTACAGGGGAGCAAGCGGAGAATGGTCGGGGTCACAGGCCAGGTTCAGCAGGTAGCAAGCAGCATAGTACAGAGGGTCAGGCAGAGGAATGGTCCGGGTCACAAGCCAGGGATCAGAACAGGTAGCAAGCAGCGTAGTACAGAGGGTCAGACAGAGGGATGGTCAGGGTCACAAGCCAGATCAGAGCAGGAGAAGTCAGCAAAGGAACAGAAACCGGATGCAGGGACAGATACAGGGCCCAGGACAAACACAACACCAAGGCAGAGTCTGCAAGTCTGGCCATCCCTTAAATACACCAGTATCATCTGTTCCAGGTGTTAGCTGGCTGAAAGGTTGAGTCTCTGATTGCTGGGAGCACCCGCTGGCCAGCCCTGGTACTGCAGATCAAAAGGCAGGTGAGTCCCACCATTGCTGGCCAGTCCATTCCTAACAATAGTAGAGGGAACAAAAAATAGGATATATGCACTAACCATATGCAATAGCAGAGCAACCCCATCACGGGTATATATGTTATTCCATTACCTTGTCATAAGCTTGTCCATTATAAAAGGATGGATATATGACCTTCCTGGATAGCCACCCCAAATGGAAATGTATCCACAGTAGTAAGTGATTCTAGAAGTGTATAAATATGAGACATAAATATAAAACTACCATCAAACCTGAATGAGACTAATAAGGGTAAAAATCTAAAGAATATTACCACACAAAAGATCAAGGGGACTCCTCCTCACTTGAAGTAAGATCAGGTCTAGATGAAAAAGTGAATATGGGGGTGGGCAGCCAGGTAGTAGATATGAAAAATCCCGACTGTTTGATACAGTCTATGTATATATGAATATATAGGCCCAAATCTGGGTTTCCAAAAATTGCTCAGTGGTGAGAAAGTAATGCGGTTCCTTAGGAATATATATGAGACTATAGAAGCATGCCGCCGCACATATAAAGCATAGTATACAAATATTCCTCCAATAGGAGTTCAAAAATTCCCCCAAATGAGGTAAATAGGCACAGAGTTTTCAAAAAATATGAGGGTATATGACCCGTTTATATTGATAGCACTGAAGCCAAATTTAGCCTAACGGCTATAAACTTGCCACCAGTGGAAGTAGGCTGTGACTCAGAGTTGCCATGTGCGGGCTGCTTAAAATGATGTCCTCATCATAATTAGAGTGTCTCCTGCCTTTCCAGTGTGGAGCTGAAGCAAACCGCTTCTTCCTTCCTCGTGGGCACCACGCCCTATGGAGACGCCGAGCGTAATGATGTCATCACGTTGACGCGTTTCGTCCGCCAATCACCGCAGACTTCGTCAGAACTGGGAGGGGACTACTATTAACCCTGATAACCTGACTAGAGAGGAAAGAAGAGCACTCTTAGAGTTAAAAAATGCAAAAGATATTGTAATAAAGAAAAGTGATAAAGGGGGGGGAATGTGGTGTTATTACAAAATGATGATTATGAGAAGGAAATTTTGAGACAATTAAGGGACTCTAGTACTTATTGTAAACTACATATGAACCCTTCCCTAGGATACTTGAGGTATTAAACAGAAAGTTAAAGTGGGCATTCAAAGTAAATCTTTTAACAAAACAGGAATATGATATGTTGACAGTTGATATTTATAACATTCCTACGTTCTATGTTATTCCCAAAATACATAAGAATCCTACCCAACCACCAGGACGTCCAATAGTATCAGCCATAAAAGGCCACTTGAGACAGTTGGTAAATTTGTCGATGACCTGGTTAAAGACATGGTTATCAAACTTAAGTCCTATGTAAGAGATACCGGAGATGTACTGGGAAAAATGAGTGATTTAGAGGTACCAAAGGGAGCATTTCTAGTGGGTATAGATGTTGAATCACTTTATACCTCAATCCCACATCTTTGGGGATTGAGAGCTATAGCCTTTTTTCTGGAAAAACATTTTCCAGAGATGGAGGCCCAGAACGAATTTATTCTGGACCTCATGGAATTTATGCTGACCCACAATTGCTTTCAATTCCTTGGGGCATGGTACCAACAGGTATGTGGTACTTCCATGGGAGCACCATGGGCTCCGACTTATGCATGTCTCCACTTGGGCCTTTGGGAGGAAGATTTGGTTTATCCCTCTATCCCATTTAACCTACATGTAGTTAAATGGCTTAGATATATTGATGACGTCCTGATGATATGGGATGGAGACATGGGACAACTGGTTTGCTTCCTTGAATTTCTCAATAAGAATGATAGAAATATCAGGTTAACATATATTACTGATCGTGAAGTAATTTCATTCATTGATCTATTTCTATTTCAATATGTGAGAATAGATTAATTACTAAAACATTTAGAAAAGAAACGGCAGCGAATACATTGCTACATGCTAC